CTATAGAAGCCAAACTTTATTTTAACATGGTTTTTAAATATTTAAAAAAACGAAAAATTGCGTTCACATTGAAATATACTCTATGTTTAAATTTCAATCTTGCTTTCCATGATATACTTGTAACGAGAACTTTTGTTTTGATTGTTCTATTTCAAAGTAACAGTACTCGAATCAATGCTAGTAATTTATCAGAAATATAAAGCCAATATGCTGCGTATTCAGATATCTATATCTATTACAATATCTTCATATTCTCTATACCTTCATTTGTCTATAGTAAAACATGTATCCCTGAGAATTTTAGACAGGCATCAATAGCTACCGATCAAAGTTTTCGACCATCTGTGGAGTTCATTTGCGTATCCTTCAACGAATAATAACTAATACAGTGTGATTTAGGGACTTTAACGTACATCGATACTCACAATAAAATTGTTTTAGTTCTACAATAGCACAGTCAGTTTCAATCGAATTCGGGTCATATATAGTCAGGATATGAATACCATGAACATGTAAAACAGACATATTTGTCAATTAATTTAATGATTATAATAAAAAGAATGTTAAATTAAGAAAAAAAGAATTTAAAAAAATGAAAATTCTTTTCGAAATGCAGAAATTAGAGAAGTCATTACTCTGTATATCAGTTATCCTGCAAGCACCTATAATCTACGAGAGATTTATCACTTTATATGTTATGTATTAGTTTAATTAGGCTAGGTAGTATATATGAGTTCTATATTTCAGCCTCAAAGGAGCTGCGCTAACAAGCTTTTTTATGAAATAAAAGTAACAAAAAATGGCTTTGACGGAGCCAGGAATCTTGATACTCATCTTGTTACCGGCATAGTGTCATTTTCAGGCATTAATACAGGACTTTTTGCCACTTTCAATCGCTTGGTTTCAAATTTCAGACATTTTAAAACTTGGGGACACGATACTAATACTTTGATCAGACTATAGATAATGCTATAAGAATATTTAGCTGGGCAAAGCGAGTACGGAGAATGTTGATGATATCATGTCGATATAAAGCATATTTTTAACATGCTTAGAAGAATGCTATGTTGTTTTTCGAACGACACTTTGGTCGACAGACTTTTCGTCGAAGTAACTTTGTCGAAAGTGAATTATTTTCTTCTTATTTATCTCGCCGTCAGGAGACAAGTTCAAAAGTATCTCCTAATTAACTTTGTCCCTTTGGTGACGGTGGAAGAATTTCAGGGCACTATTGAATAGAATTACATACTTTTCGTCGAAAAGTACTTCAAGGCAAGGTTTGTAGTCCCCGAGACAATTCTGGATCCTTCAATTCTTCTACAGAACTGTTCAGAGTTAAGAGGACAGTGAATTTTCATTCACACTCACGTTTGTAGTGCCCTTGCCATCACCCTCACATTTGGAGTGCCTTGCATGGCTGTTGCCCTCACGGTCATGCTCACTCTCACTCACCCTTGCCTTCACATCATGCTCACCCTCACATTTGTAGTCCGCCTACATGGTCCTTACGCTCACCTCACCTTTGCATTTGGAGTACTCTCCATAGCCAAGAAAATACTTTCGACGAAAAACAGATATCTATCTGAGTTTATTGATGAAGTGCTTTGTCGACGAAATGTTTTTCGACGAAGTATCGAGTCGACGAAGTGTCTTGTCGACGAAATGGCTGTCGACGAAGTGCCGCGTCGACAATAATTTTTCGACCAACTGCCTTTCAACAAAAATTTTTCGACGAATAACATGATTACCTGCTTAGAATATGCAATTTCCGTAGGGATTACCGAATATGAGAATCTACATTTTCAACTCTTGAAGAATAATGGTTCGTTTCATTCCGCTTCTTAACGTGCCGGCCACGAATCATTTACCATATCTAGTACTTCTAATATCCTATCTTCAGTGCAGCTCATCCTTTCAGTAGAGGGTTAGTAGCGTTCGCGCTACGTTACTTGTTATAATAAAGCAAATAGCAACAATTAATTAAATCGCTATTGACAAATGATAGCTACTGTGTATATGTAAATATCCAATAAAGAAAAAGATCAGAAACACGTGACAGTGGTATAAAAAAAATCAAACTACTATAAGTGTCACTTATGCATAAAATGAGTCATTATTTCTATCTATGAATGGCAGCCACTTTTCAAAATAGCGTTGGTTGTAGCGCGTCGTCGCCTCTATGCGGCCATAACCATAATACATAATAAATATCTGTTATTGCATATGAAAAACAGAAAAGATCAAGAAATACCAAAAGTGAAAAAATCAAAATTTCAATCTGAATTTGAGACCAAAGACCTATAATATTCAGTCTATTCTTTAGAAAAGAATCTTACTACTGTGTTTCATACGACAGCTAAACACTATTCATTGAATATAACGTTCCATTAGTTTGGAAGCGATGGCTGATAAAGATAAGGTATTGTTTAGAAAAAGTGTAACTAATTATCAGGGCAAATATCCATCGTGAATGATGCTTTCTATTAGTTTTGAAATAGAGTCGATTTACCTACCAAATTCATACGCATCCTTTAAAAAGTAAATCATTTTCATTTTTCAAAAGATAGATATTCTTAAACATAAACAAATTCACATTTACGAAATTCTGTATATTAAAATTTAAAAAAACAAATCGAAATTTATAACTGTTTATCCGCCTATGAAATTATGCGTTGAACAAAAAGAGAGAGAAAAAAAATATTATTCGATCATTGACCGATGCATATATCGTCAATTTAGATTATAAAAAAAATATGTCATTGTTTATACTGACGACATAGGTCAAATAGAACACAAGTACGTCGATATAAACACTGACATTGATAACATAAGAAAAACAGATAAAAGTATAGATGAAAATGGAAAATTCATGGATCCAATTGAATGATTTACCTGATGAAATTCTTTTAATTATTTTTAAAAAATTGCCTGCTACGGAAGTACTTTATTCTTTAGCATCTGTCAGTATACGATTCAACAGAATCGCATATGATTCTGTTTTTACAAATCATCTAACTTTCCTGATGGCTGCATCAGATGGATTTGTTTATCCATTACCTAATCCTGTACTCGATCGATTTTATCTACACATTTTACCTGAAATTCATCACAGCGTTCAATGGCTTGAACTTGAATCACAATCAATGCAACGGATTCTGCTTGCTACATCTTATCCTAATTTATATGGAATTAGTTTGTATAATATTGAAGCAAAAACATTTATAAGTCTTTTTACTGGTAAGATATTTTTGATTCTTTTAGTGATAGATATTAAAACTATAACAGAAAATTCATGAACCAGTTTTGTAAGTGTAAACCTTAAAGTTTCCTATTTGATTCATATAATATTTGTCAATATAATGACAAGAAAGTTGTCATCAAAGGTATCATTTGCCACAACACCAGTGTTTACATAATAAAATAAAAAGCTTAGGTATTATTCTCCTATTGAAAGTTATACAAAATTTTGAAAAAGAAAATGTAGCAGTATTAAGGATAAGAATTAATGGCTATGATGCAATTTAGTCAATTAAGTAAGTCGAAAGAAGACAAACCAATATGTAAATTATAGGATTAGTAAAAAAAAATGAATAAAGGATATACATTTTCAGAGTTATGCACTAACATAGAACCTATTAAAAAATTTCTGTTAATGATTTAATGCTTTTATTATTCAGGGGAAACTTCAGTAATGCGTACCTTGAGAAACCAAATTTCAGCACTTGTTATTGATATTAGTACAAATGAAACACAAAGATTCACAAGAGATGATAATGAAATTCTATTTACACATATCTTTACTATGTTCACTAATTTACAATATTTGAATTTTTCTCCATCTTCATTTGGTCATCAACGATTATCATTTCGTACTCAACCTCCAACTATTATCTCTACAAATTTGTTAAAATTGCATGTCTCTTTGAATGACTTTAATGATTGTCTTTATTTACTTGATGGTTCTTTTAATCAACTTCATACACTTTATGTTAATATTTCTTTCATTGTCTCTACGAATGTTTCAGTCAATAATAAGGTAGATTATTTTTAATTCATATATAATTTATTTAAATGAACGAATAACATATTTCTATAGAAAAAACTACCTACTCTGAAATGTTTTTCACTACAATGCGATATGTCAGGAAATGTTTACGACGAATTGATTTTACCGCTTTTACGTCGAATGATGAATTTAGAAAAGCTTGATTTGTGTCTTAGTGTAAGTGGAAGAAAATCATTTGTTGATGGTAATGATTTGAAAATAAATATTATTAATCATATGCCACGATTATACAAATTCATATTTAATATCCGTTCATCAAGTTGTTTTTATAATGAAGTTAATTTACCATCAAATAAATTTATTCAAGAGACATTCAGAGATTTTAAAGATAAAGAAATTATTTATTATGTTGATTATTTTCCAAAAAGAAGAGAAAGTCGTTGCCATATTTATTCGTATCCATATAGACTGAAAGATTACTATGATATAACAAATAATTTTTCAGGTGGAATATTTAAATGTGTTCGAAAAGTGTCATTATTCGATGAACGTCCGTTTGAACACCAATTTTTTCTTCGAATTTCTCAATCATTTCCATTGGTGGAATATTTAACTGTAGTCAATGAAAAACGACAAATTGATAAACGATTTAGAAAAACAAAGAATGAAGTTCAAAATTTATTAATAATTCAATATCCTTATCTTAAATATCTTAATCTCTTGGATACTTGCATAGATTATCATGAACAATTCTTATGCGATACCAAGATGTGTTTACCATTTGACGTTAATGTTTATATGAATTATAAAATAGTTAGAAAAATGACACGCAATTTTAGAAGAAATTCAACACGAAGCAATTGTGCAAAAATGGGTTACGTATATTTATCCAGAGAAGCAAAATGTTGTGGATCTTTGAACGAATTTTTTTGTCCAAAACTACAATTTCCTGAACATATACAAGACTATTTTCCTCATGCGCAAATAAAGTGATTATTATTAATTTGTTATGTATTTAAAACATGAACAAAAGTATTTTGATTTACATAAAATTAAAGCGTGAAAACAGATGGAAAGATGGGGGTGTATATTGTTAGAAAAGAAAATGTGATATCATTTTGTACTAGAATTTTAACGATAGGTCAACGAATCGGATTCTATGTTTAGAAGCGAAGTAGTTTATGCAAGTTACGTCAGACGAACGGGAAAAATTTTATGTAAAAATACTTCTGATCAGAGAAAATCGAGAAGTATTTGTTTAAATAACTGTTACGATAATAAGAAGAGAATGCAGATTAAATTGTCTGAAAATTCTCTTTTTACTCAACATGATTCGTCACAATGAAAATTATCGTTTTCTTAGAAAATATATTTCTTAATTTAATGTTTCTCCGTTTTTATAGGGCAGTTTATCTGTGGACTGTACATGTCATGACATGATTTCTCTACATGGATATATTATTTTATAATATGTTCTTTCGGTTTAAGTTTCTCGAATAAAAAGTTTCAATCATTTTATATAATAAAATACGTGTGAAGATAATGATCCTTGGTACATCTAGACGGATGAGTTATGTGTAGCTGTGTGAAGGAAACCCAAATGATGAATAAATAGATCTAATAATGAGACATACCCATCGTATGGTCTTCCATAGTATAAAGAATGTCACAAAGAGAAGTCTTTTTATTGTTATATAATTTATATTGTTTTAAATTTGAGTCTGAAATTGTGATCGTTTTTATTAACTGCTATGTATTATTCTGTTTGACTATTTATGTATTCGTATGATGTCTTTTACAAATATTGTCATTGTTTCACATACTGACACTAACAGCAACAGAAGGTAATCAACAATCATCGTTATTTTATTTTGCGAATCAGATGCTCATGTGATGTTTTCTGCCACTCGATGGAGTCCATAGGCTTTCCATAGACAGGGTTCTCCATAAGCCATTTTTTGTAAGACACTTCCCAACTACAGAGAGCATAGACTTTTGAAATTCAGTTCGCCCCCGACCATGGGCTTTCTTTGTTGCACCGATAGGATGAAGAGAAAATATAATTTTTTTTTTTTGAAAAAAAAATGTCGGGATACGCACAGAAATAAACAGTAAATGAAATCAGCAAATATTTGGCCGAGCAAAAAAATCTAGAACATTTAAAAATATCTCTACAAAGTTTTATACTTCGTTCGAATTAAACGTTGTATATGGTAAGTGTAGTCTTTGTTCACGCTTTCATATATGTCATGAAGAGATAAAAATTCTGGTTTTAATAAAAATAACAGAAGAGAACCAAAATTTCTTGTTCCTCCGTCTCAGGGAAAAATCTCTAGGGTATAGCGGCTGGCCAAAAGTATGCACTTCATTTTTTAATCACTAGAAGAAATATAAGGCTGAAAATTTGTGCATATATATTAGATGAGATGTAGACTGGTGACGCCAACCCGACCTTTATAGATTGGTAGGAGAGAAATTATGGCGAGAACCAACTGATAATATTGCGATCCTTATAACTCAAGAATAAAAGATCATTATGGGTCGTAGAATCAACCATTATTTAGCCCTTATAGGTATGTATTTGGACTGAAAATTTTAGGAAGGTTCATTGAGCTGTTTAAAAACTCTGATCATATTATCGTTACGGTCAGTCTTCAGCAAAATGGCTTTCTTGATCGAAACTCAAAAAGATTAGAACGGATCGACCTGAAAATTGCAGAGAATATCCATAGAATCAGTGCATTACTTTCCACAATTGTCGAGGGAAAAGAGGTAAACAACTGAGAAAGTTAAAAAT